AAATAAAATAAAATAATGACAGTAGAATCTGTTTTCAGTGTAACAATACTGGATAGTGTGCTTTTGGTATTTATAAAATATTAGCCAATAATACATTCCTGCCAGATATATGTCCTTCCAGATATGCCCTTGCAAACGAAGGACATTGTAGTATGTACCTTGATTGTTCTAATCATTCTTCTAAACCAATGCTAAATTGTTTTTTCATTGTTTCCAAGTTCTATATTTTCTCTTACTTACAGAATCACTAAGCAAACCTAGAAATCTCTTGGACCAGAAAGAGTATTTTGCTACTTTTTTTACAATTTATCTGAAAATATTTCATATCACTAAGAAATGCTTGTCAAAATTGAAGTAGGTGGAGCAAAATTAGGTGGAACAAAACTAGAACAAGAAGAATCAGAAATTGTTGGCATAACCTATATCAATCAGTAAAGTAGGAAATAAATCTAAAAATACAAAATCTAAAACATTAAAGCCAAAATTATTATATATAAAAAAGTATTTTTACAAGTTTTAAATTTGGGGGAAAACCAGGGTAAACTATCGATCCACTTACCACTGTGCTTTCATGTGGTATATGAAGCCTTGAGCACTGAAATACTTTTATTCTCCCCTATACCCTGATTGCATGTACTCTATTCCAGAAAGAACTGTTTAAATTCAATGGTTATTAAACCATCAATATCCGTATAATCCAATTTAGCTATAAAAGAGAGAAATTATTAGCATGACCATGACTTTCAGCACTGAAGTCTGGATTCTTGATATCTTCTTACTTTAAACATCCACAAGACGAAAATATAATGTTCCTGACATTATGGTGCAGCAGAAAGAAGGTCTAGAGAAGGCATGAGTCATTCACAAGCCTTTTGCAGGCTTGGATAAGTACTCTAAAATGTAAATGCTGGACAATTCAATGTATGAACAATTTGAGAACTCTAATTTACAAGCAATTTCTATACCTACAGTATCCTCAGAAAGCTGAGTATAATTAATAAGGTTATCACTCAATATTTAAGGTCCTCTGAGATCTTAAAAAACAGACATAATTATCATTGATATCTATGCCTGCAAATTAAAAATTTGAAAAATTAATAATTATAACAACATTTTTTAAATAACGAAGTTAAGAAAAATAAAGTCCAGATCTTGCCTGTTTGGTGGAAACTACTCATCGCTGACCAGTAAGAATAGTTGAATATCATGAAGACAAAGAAATTATTTTGCTATTGAAACTGCACCACCTAAAGTAATAAAATAAACTTGCAACCCACAAGCAGATACAAAATCTAAACTATTGAGCAATTTCTAATAGCAATGTAAAGAGCAAATATTCTGAATGTTCTACATTTTTAAAATAACAATACTATTTTAAAGTTCCCAGGTAATGATTCAGGATTGTAACCTCACAGTCTAGTTCTGAAACTGTTACGGATTTCCTCTCTTTGCATCTGTCTATTTAGCGTTTACCTACAACACAAGAACAACTTCCCTAATACTAAACCTTGTTTGCTTCTTTGCTGCATGCTAACGTGGAATTAATTTCCAGTACAACATACTTTTTGTGGTTTTTTTTTTGGTTGTGTTTTTTGTTTGTTTGTTTGTTTTCTCATATGAAATGGAACGTAGATTGGGGCTGCAAGGCAGGCCACAAGAAAAAACATGAAATAAAAAAGTTTAGATAGATGATGGAAAATTCTATTCCAACATTCAGCCATGGTAAGATCCAAACATAAAATACAGCACCTGAGCTAACTTGTTGATGATACAGATGGTATTTCAGTTTGGATAATAGTGTGCTACTTTGAGAACTCATGTTCCAGAAAGAGGAGTAGGCACAGGAAATATGAGTCAAGTTGTGTAGCTACCATTTGAAAGCAGATTAGAAAAGTGTGGCTTTAGCATACTGACTGAGATCCAATAGGGAAAATGACTGCAGTCTGTGAGAGCAGGAGGAGATAAACATCAGGGAGTAGACAGAACTGCACTACAACTCAGTCCTGGCATAAAAATAAACAAACTAAGTGCAAATGCAGGAAGTTGAAGAAGTCACAGTCTCCAAGCATTAAGGAGTAGAGAGACAGAAGAACCTTTCCATCACAATGAGAGCAAAAAAAATCTTTAAGTAATTTCAAGACACACATGTTTGAAAGGGATTATATGTGCTATCTGTGAAATATCCTTTTAAATCCTATGTCTTCTAATCATAAAAGAAGTCAATTAGAATTTCTTAAAAACCGAAATGTGATATTTCTCCTCAACACCACATGTTCTGCTCCTGGAAAGTCTTAGTGAAAAAATCACAATAAGAGTATTAAAGTATTCATGACCTGAAATGAAACAATTCTATTATTATATTTCATTCACATCATATATAATGCATAAATGTTGTTTAATATCATGCCATTGTGCAGCAAAAAGGAACGCACCTCCCCTTCCCAAATAAACCTAAAAGAATGTAACTACCTTTTAACCTATATTAACATAATCACCTAATCATACTGTTGACTGTTTCATTTTATATTAACATTTGACTCTGTGTATTTACTGAAAGTTAATGAACACATTAATCTCTGCTTTTCCAAAGTAGTCCTACTTAGAAATAGCATTACACTTCTGAATGTTCTGTATATTTTTTTTCCTAAAACAGTTCCTTGTTGAATACCAGATTATTCACTTGCTTGTGAAAGCATTTTCAAACAAATCCTGTTAATTCTGAATATGGTTCACTAAGCAGCATGATCTCATTAATAAAACAAGTTGCTACTCTAGTAAATCAAAATGCTCAGCTGTTTTAACTGTTTACCTAATGGAAATTCTAATTATCTCTTCAGTCAGCCTCACAGAAGCCTAATACTTTTGAAACAAGACCCAGCAAAATAAAGAGCCAAAGAAGAGAATGGGAACAGTGCAACTTCAGACTAAGGATTCTGTCACAAATCAATATTAAGTAACATTGGGTCTGCATTCTTCAGGTTAATTGGAATATTTTCACACCATGTGAATTTTCATTAGAAAGGTACTTTTGTGTGTCATACTGAACTAAAAGAAATGTTTGAGTGACAAAGTCACGAGTTCATGGGATTTCTAACACAAGGGGAAAAGGAAGAAAGAGAAAGCTTGATGGACTGCAAAAAGAAAATTCCATTCTGCAAACATATATTCAAAATGTTCTCATGTATTGCACAAGAAAATAATAAATGGATAACAGGTCAGAAGGAGGAGGCTAGGTCAAAGGGAAATGTAGAACGGAAGCAGACTTATTCTACACATAAGTTTCTGCATAACAAGACATTCTCCCAGGGTCTTTTAGTGTGATGTTCAGTTCTGTATGAAATTCCTCCTTAATGAAGGCAAGAAAACAATGTTTCTAATCTGCTGAAACTCTGAAATGTGCTATTCACCCAGTGAATTTGTAACATCTATCATACACCTTACCTTGATCTGGGCACTCTCAAAAATCAGCCTCTTCTCAGAGAGAAGGTATTGTTTTAGAAAGGGGTTAGAAAAAAAGGAGACAAACTCTTTTATGGATCTAATTTTTTTTTGTAAATGCTCATTTGAAGCTGCTCAAGGATACAAGCATAGTGCCATAAAGGGTGATGGAGCAGAAGCAAAGCACAGAAGAAAGGGTAAGGTTTTGTGACACAGTATTACCATTCATCAAATAGATACACATGTCTAACTTTACTAACAGATATGTTTTCCAAAAAACACTTAAAACTGTGGGTCAGAGAAAGTGAGTAGAAATTTCAGCTACATGTGAATTCTGCTACCTTGTACATACACAGAGAAGAGTAACTTTAATTCCTTGACATTCTATTTAGTCAGCCAGATCTTAGGCAACTTTCTTCAGTGTTCACTGATAGTAATTTGCAGAAAAATATTTACCTGCTCTTTTAACTACTTCGGCTTGGTGTGTTACTTAACAGTTGCATCTTTTTTTATACTTGTACCATATGATTTTGTTTCCTTTTCACTTCAGCGGTTTTAGTAAAGAAATAGCACCCTAATTCTTAAAAACGTTGTCTTTAAATATTAAAATTCAGAAGACATGATAGATTTTTTTAACTTAGGCCAAAAAGTAGGTTAGTGTTGCATTCAAAATAAAACTCTACCTTTAATATTAGAGAGACCTAAATTCTTTCAACCTGAAATCCAGGAATTCAATCCATCAATTCAAATGTATAAATGCCAATAGTTTAACAGATTTTGTTTCTTACACACAAGTAGTAATTTATAACCTGAATCCAGAGTTTAGTCAAGTCATGTTATTCAGCTGAAACTATCTACTTACAAAACATCAGTTTAAAATTAATTCTTCATACCCATTACCATTTCAATCACATAAGAAGGAAATGAAAGAAACCAAGAAACCAAGAAACCAGAGTTATTTTCCTTATGATGCTCAAAGAGCTTGCAAGATGAAAAGCATACAAATTAGAACTGGACAAATAGGAACTAAGTGGCCATTCTGTCACACTGCATTTCACAAAAAAAAAAAAAAAAAGGCAAGCATCTTCAAGGTTCTTTGATTAAAACATGAAACAGGCAAAATAAGCAATACTTGCAAGACATAGTTCATGGAATATCTCTTGTACAGCTCAGTGGTTAATCACATTTCTTCCACAAGATTTTAAAATCAAGTCTAATACTTCTACTGGTCATAAATATCAAATCTAATACTTCTGCTGGTCATAAATATCAAATGGAAATTAATGAGCATTTTAAATAAAGACCAAACAATTATGTAACTACGGAAGTACCACAATATACCATGTAATCCAACGTCTTATTTCTTGTAAAAATGTATCTTACAACAAATTAGTGAAAATTCTTAGTTAACCAGATAAACAGAAATATCTGACCAAAATTGTCACTGGCCACTCAACACTAGAAATCATCTCTAAATGAACTGCAAAACTATACAGATTACCCAGACCTGTAAACTTCTTAAACACAGTAGAAAAGTAGGAAACAGGTTAATCAAATCATACCTGGATAAATTGCTTGGTTTTCACATGCCCCACGTCTCCAGCCTCTATCTGTGCTCTTGCCAGCTTCTCTTCAGTTTCAGTTAGCCAGTGATTAAAGCTCTTCATGTCACTATGAAAATGTTGCCACTTTTCCAAAGATTTGTCAAACCGTCTGCAAGTATAAATGGAAATGAAATAACAATCTATTGATACTTTATTTATTGACTGCAGAAAAAAAAAGTTGAGAGTAATGTTGGATGTCTCAGATTAAAATTGGTGTGATACTGATGGCACCATGTATTGGCTTTATAACAGTTATATCAAATAGAAACATGGTAGTTTGAAATTATCATTAAGATAATTATCATTAAGAAGTGAAATTATCATTAAGAAAATGCACCAAAAATCAGTGTTTTATAAATTTTTAAATCCTTGTCAAGAAAATGCAACTTTCTTCAAAGGAATTTCTATTTGTTTTGTGTAAAGGGACCCTTTATTAAACCCTTTTTTTATTATATGTTTAACTTCAAGTGTTTGATAGTTATGCAAAAAAAACCCTAAAAAACGAAAAGTCCTGAAATACAAGGATGACTGAAACAAAATTAAAATATTAAATATAGAAGTTTGTACCACAAAAAAATAGAGAAATACTACTATCATGTCTGCAAGTCTACAGTCCACTACATAAAGGACCAGGTAAGTACTTCCAGCACTTTGAGAAGATCTGACCTACTTTTGTCTAGAGTGACTGATGTACCTTCTGCTTCAAGACCTGTTTGCCTTGGCAAGTACTAAAGAAATGAAATGAAGACAAAATTCCAAGGGTTTTTTTGCAGATGGCCTATGTCTTAAGAACTTCAGTTATCCTATGTTTTGGATTGGTGCCAAAATGTAATCACAAATCAGAGATTAGCCAGAATGTTTTGTTAGCAGATCACCATTAAACGTGCTACTGTTGTTTAGTTAATAATCCTCCTTTACAGGATTATAATAGGTTTTAGGGTGTACTTAAAGGATAAAAACAAAGATGCTCAATTATTTTTTTAGGAGGTAATCTGGTTCTCTATGGAAAAACTATATGATTGTTTGAACGTTAAGGCATTTAATTCACAAAATAAAATCACATTACTGTCAGGGAACACATATCATCTTTTCCATTGTACTGATGATTTTTCATTTTTTAGAAGAAAATATAATAACTAAACAGACTATTGACCTGGTTAAAAACTGTAGTCACTCATCTAACTTACTTATTAAAATGACTGCGATCATTTATCATGGTTCTCTCAATTTATTGTTCAAAATGAATCAAACCATAACTGAAAGGCACATTATAAGAGTTTCTTCAACTAACTTATTCTGGATTAAAAGGGAAAAAAAATTACATTTAAAAAAAATCACCTTGAAAATAAAATTTAAATTCCATTTCTTTTGGTCCAGTATGGTCTCTCATTTTGGACACTACATTAAAAGAGCTTTCTTCCTGTTACTCAGAAAATGAAATTACTCTTCTCAGCATGATGAAGTTTATCAGCAGCTTGAATGCAAAAATTCAAGTAGGGGGTGATATTAGTATGACTGAATTTGCATTTCAGCACTTGCAAATTGAGTCTCCCGTCACTCTCCATTCTTCCTTCCTTTGCTTTGGGTAATAAGAGTTGCAAGGAGAAGAAAAAAGTTGCAACAAGAAGATACTTCTATTTAAAGTTTAAAAACTAGTGCTTCTTGCTCATCATTCTGCTTATTTCTTATTATTCTGTTACTCTCAGAATAATAAGTATAAACCAGTACTAAACATCAGTAAAAAATACAGGGCATTTATGGACAGGCAAAGCCACTAAAATTAAATGCTCTTTCAGAGATTAAATACTTAAATACTGTCACAACGATAAGAGCAAATGCAGTTGTTGCTGCAGTGGCAGATGCTGGTCCACTTGAAATGGGGTATGAAAGTGGACATCGTCATGCAGCTTCCTGCTCACACTGTTAGGAGATACTCGCTACCAGTACCCCTAAGTGAGAGCTTCCCTTGCTAAATCTGTGTTGTACATCTGCTTACACACAGTACTACTTCAAAAAGCATTTTAAGCTTTAAAAGCAAAGAGGCTTTTGTTTGTTTGTTTGTTTGTTTGCTTGTTTTACCATTTGCAATCCTGTTACCAGGTGGTGAGTTCAAAACCCACAAAAGGAGAAGGCTAATTAACTACCAACGCTGAGCAGCTAATCTGCTGAGGCCTTGGAACAGCAGAATGCAGAAAAATCTCATAAGAGAGCACTATTCTGAGGATTATGAAAACTCAGAAAGTGTACGCTTGCCTCAGGAAACCCAAGCATAAAATTTGAAAGATAGGAAGGTGACATTACAGCCTTGTATACTCTTACCTAGGGATCCACCCTTGTTTGCCACCAGGGACAAGTAATTCAGCTAAAATAACACAGTGTATCTATTTCTCTGTATCTTCATCTACTCAAACTCTTTCCCTTTGACAGGCATGAGCCAAAATGGTGTGGATAACAGGTGATATTTGGGCAGTATTTCCTTTTTGATTTGTCCTTCTCTCTGTGTTTCTAGCACATGCTCAGTAACAAGATGCCAAGAATTAGGTTCTGAACTAGAATGTGTGACTTGTATACACTGCAAAACACATAAGAACTATACTGACTTATTGCTCTGATACAGTAAAGTAGCCTTTTCTTCTAACTTCAGTATGTTAGATTTGACAAGTGAAAAACCACTGGTTCACCAGCCGATTTTTTTTCATATATGTACTGACATCCCAGTAGGAGACATGTTAAGCAATGGCTTGTGGGAACGATTTCATTTTATCATAGTATCACATAATGGATTTATTTTGCCTCTGGAGAGCAAGAAAGAAAAAAAAAGTATACAAAGACAACTACCAAGGCAATATATAACACAATTTACATTAAGTCATAAAAATATTGGTGCTTTCTTTCCCTCAAAGATTATCACTCTTTTAAACCTTTGGATGTGAATTTCTGTAAGTAAAATTTAATATTCTTTGGCAGTATTGTACATGATATTGCACAAAGATTTACAGATGTACTGTCAGTGGAACTCTAAACTCTCACTACAACGGGATTGAACTTGATGTTCCATGTCCCAAGAGTGGTGTTTTTAAGAAGCCATGTAGAGGTGGAAGGAAAGGCCTTTGAAAACAGGAAAGTCATAAACATAAGATGGGTTACAAAAGTTTGTTAGATTGTTGTTGTTGTAAACCAAATCTAAATTTTGCATGTGTTTCAAATAAATCCTTGATATTTTGACAACATTCCTTGATAAACTAGGAAACCCACTTTTATGATACATTCTGCTCTAGCAAAACTTCACAATGAATTGACCCACACAAAAAAGAATGCTACTTATACACTTTTCTAAAAGTCATGATTTCTGTAATAAAAATTATTATTATACAAGATGTGCTTTATTCATCAAATTGGAAAAACATTCCATAAACTTCATTTCTATACTGTTGCTAAACAATGTACTGTAGGATTATGCTAATATTAACCTACAAATTATGCAGTTTTGTCAACTTGATTCAGCACAATTAGCACCTTGTAAAAATACACAAAACATCAAAGTACTATAAATAATTATGTATTAGCATGTGAGAGCATTAACTTTAATACTTAAGGCCATTCTTACAGATAATAAAACAAGAAAACTTTTTTTAGTCAAGCAACTTCTACAAGTAAATTGCTTAAAGAAACAGCTAACCCATTTTCAGAGGTTTTGATGTTTTCATTTTATTTCTCAGAATTTATGTTTTTTGAGTGCTTAACTTATATTTAATTTACATATCCTCTCTGCATTTGGACTCAATGTGATAATCTCAATTTAGATGCTTCTACATCGAGATCTTGATCGCAGGTAATGCTGTGGGTCCATTCTGGGACAACACTTGGCTGTTCATATTCCATTCACATCCTTGGACCCTTTCACCCACAAAATAGCAAATGATCAGAAATAAAAAATTAACTGCAACCAAAATAATCATAGCAGTGCCATCCATCATTACAAAATGTAATCTCTCCTCTTCCCAGAAAGTAGGTTCTGCAGCATTACATAAATTAAAAACATTCTACATTACAATTACATTAAAAATATTTTTATATCTTGAATTGTATTAATTGTATTTTTCTTCTTGCCCTGGTTACTGATGTCAATCCTTATATCAAAGACAATGACAAACTGGCTATGAAAAAGCAGAATCCTGTCAGTCATTGTTGGTTTTTAGGTATCAAAATTCATTTTTATGAAGTATGAGAGAGCAGTAAACTTAATAACCATTTACAATAAATAGTTATGCAGAAAATCCATTGGATTTTAATGGATGTTCTGCATCAACAGTGTAAATAGAAATATTCCATATACTTTATAAAGTACATTCTTCTTCTACACTAAATATGACTATTAACTATGCATATGAGTTTGAACATCAGAATTCCAATTCTTTTTTTCCTAAAAAGTTTTCCTTCATCAGAACAGAGATGCAATGATACATTTTAGAGAACTTTGCCTAGGGACCTGGACTAAAAGCAGGTCTTCTATAGAGAAAATAAAGAAATAATTAATTGTGACCCAGGTGAAAGAGTAGCATATTTTGCAACTCTGTTATGCATAAAAATTATTAATGCATTTGGTAATAAAACTACAAATGTCATAGCTTTCCAAAGTGTAACTGTCAAAAGCTGTCATGATAAGAAATCCCCCAATCAAACCTTTTACATGGAATAAACAGTGGCTCAATTTTGTGGAAATCCAAACTAGTATTTTTGCCTGCATGTAAAGGGTGCACACATTTCATCCCCGGGATGGGAGACTGTGTAAACTGCATTTCTAGACAGGATTCTCCTGTGTGTTATTACTACCCACCCTATGGTAGTATCCATCTGATGAAGTGAAGTGAAAAATCACATTCACTTCTGACTGACTGTCAGGGTGATGTTCTTCTCCTTCCCACACCCCAGGGGGTCTGACCTGCTTAAGGCCAATTCTGAAGTGGCACAGTAGCATCAGGCTTTGGTCATCAGGCTGCATCAGCCTGACATCAGGCTGCATGGGGAGAAATGACTGTGAGAAACCTCATTTGGGGTTTCTGCCCAGGGCTTCAGGGCCATATTTAAACTCAGACCTTGACCTGGG